AGCGTAGAGTGCAAAGTTGCTAAGTCCCAATTTAAAAATTGTACAGGAGAGGAAAAAACTTCGTATAGCCATTTTCTTCAAGTATTTCGCAAAACTTTGAATACAACATTTTGCCTGTTTAAAGCAAAGCAAAACTCCATACGAATCAGAGGGATTCGATCTTTATTAAAAGATTTCGAACTTTTTTGGCCTTATCGAATTTTCGGAGCTTTTTTCGGACTTAGCTAATTTTTCTTTCATTGAATATAAACGAGAAAACATAAAACAACGACCTTTACCCTTTTCGAAACGATGCAATATTAATTTATCTAGCCTCCTATATCAAAATATGATTTTTCATTAAAAGTGAAGTTAGCAACTTTTCACTCTATGCTAGCGATATATGAGTTTAACAATTAGTTTATCGTACATTTTAAATAGTTTTATTTCATGGTATGTTTAAATGCTTTCAGATATTGAATTTTTACTCATATTCATAAAATTTATTACTCAATTTGGATCCCGGGATAAATCCCGGGATCCCGGGATTACCTAAAAAATATCCCGAAATCCCGGGATCCCAATTTTCCTGATATTTTGGCATCCCTAATATATACATATATATATATATGTATGTATATATTTCATGATCCAATGATCGAACCAGATTAGTAGGGAACCACCCCCGAGACGCTACCTTTCCGATGCAAAAAGAATTATCGAAATCGGTTGACGTGGTCCAATGTTATGCGGTAACATACATATATAGAAAAAGAAATAAAAATAAATAAAATAAAAATAAAATATTCCGACGAACTGATAACATCCTCCTTTTTTGGAAGTCGTTTAAAAACTATAAGAGTGTGCGGAGTGGGGTCTTTACCTTTAGAATCAAAAACCCAGAAGATAATTTAGGTAGGCCTTCTTGAGTAAAGCCATTCAAGGAGGCCTACCCAAGAAGAGCTGTAAAAAGTACTTCCTTGCATGCCTTCTAGAAGGGTTATCCATTTACAATTTACGCGAATGCATAAATTTATATTATTAAACATTAGAAATTAATTTAAACAAATATTTTAAGTTGCAATAGCACATATTTGATATAAACCTTAAGCAAATACTTCAAAGATATATGATTTTTATAAACTAAAGAAGCAACTTTAAAAGAACTCCTCCAAAAGGCCTTCTGAAGTACGTCCTATAAAAGCCCTTCTGGAAGGCCTTCCATAAGTAGCGAAAGAAAAACCCCCAAACCCCCCCTCCCTCCCCCCCTAAACGAAGGAGGATGAACGCCGCTTTATGCCCGCCCCAGTGATGTAACCTTGGGAAAGGATGAGGTAACTAGAATTCCCTTTCTGTGTGGTAAACCTGGGGCTGC